TTTTTTTTTTTTTTTTTTTTTAATTGGTTTTTTTATATTTTTTTTTTTTATTTTTTTTTGTTTTTTTTTTTTTTTTTTTTTTTTTTTTTTTTTCTCTTTTAAAATTATTAGAATTGAAGTTCTGTATTTATTCATTTTACCTTCAAAGAGCTTGAAATTTGAGACCACGTACAATACTTGTCCAGTTTTGATCCACCAAGCAAAACAGGCTCCACACGCCCTGAAATGCCATCTCTCGTACCTATCTCATGAAAATGGTCGACTCTTCATTGGAGCTGCAACTGTTAAGTGATAAATTACACATCAATTAAATATCGGAATACACCACTCATCTTAATAAAGTTGGCATTATAAAATAGAACTCCAAATCTTAATATGGTATCAGAACCTATTAAATTCATATGAGTAATTCGATCCGATTAAAACTCAAAAAAATGAGTACACGAATTTCAAAATTGATTTACTCAAACATACTGCAGATATGTTAAGGAATTAATATCATATCGATTAATACCGAATTACAGTCCAACATATAAAAGTTTATGGTACTCCTCTTAATAAGGTTAACCTCTTAAGATGAAACCAAAAGCTTTAATAACCAAACTCGAACAATCCACCAAAATGCGCGTGACGTTGCGTCATAACTGCCTCTACCAATATATAACCATACAGTAGCCGAAATATCCGTGAAAAGTATAAGAGAAGACCATATTGATTGTGTAAGAGAAGACGAAATATCCATGAAAAATGTGTTGTTCAATTAATACAAATTGGAAAAATCTCAGGCGTGGCAAGTTAGGCATTCGGGGAACTATATGTTTTCTTTGTGCTGCATGTCTTTACTCAAACTCTTATGTAAGTTTACACTCCACTAGTCCTATATATGTCTCATCCTCAACTCCATCCATGTCTGTATGTAAATCTATATCTATTTTATATTATGCAAAAAAGCTGTGAATCAATGGAAGTAACCACACCCCCATGTCCCAAATGCTGAATTTCTTGACAAAATTATATTGTCAAACATGCCCTAAATAATATAAAACATGTTTCCTTTTTGCCAGTGTATTGTCTCATTTAGTAGTTCAAGTCTACTTTTAATCTATTCCAATCATAATAAGGGTCGAATTACTCGTCGAGTTGGCATTAGTGTTGATCTTGATGTGCCTTCTCCTAAAAATATGATTGTTCTATTGGGCGTTTCGATAAATAAAAGGTTTAAATCATGCTTTAACATCTAGTTGTTAAGTTATGATGTGTTATCTTCTTTTTTTAGATATCACGAGGGCACTAATGAGTATTGAATTGTACGAGCAGAGAGGGACCATTTGCCTAATATATGAAAGTCACTTGTCAAAGGAAGATAATTTGTGGAAAGGATAAAGCAAAATTACAATAAACTTATTAGCCAGGTTTAGAGATTTGAGACATAATTATGAGTACTTAATTAAGTATACTATTATTTTGTCAACGTGTCGATAAAACCTAGAATAATTTCCTTTGTTGGAGTTCGAAACACAAAATTATAATTCTTAAAAGCTATCTCATTGCGACTTCTGTTTTTTACACCAAAATATATAATATATGATCATAAAAAAAAAACATAAATTATTAATCAAAACTTTAAATGGCCCCCAAAATTGTCCAGCACTGTCTGGGAATTGGTCAGCTTGTGGTCCGGGATATTTTGCACATGTAGTTGCACAGCCTAATGTTTTCTCTTTTTGTGGACATGTATAAAAACATGTATGTTAAAATTTCGGAGGGATCCAAATTCTATTTTGGAGATATATTTGGAGTTGGTAATTTGAACTCAAGAAGTCTTAAAGAAATACAAAATGACGAGTAGTCAAACAATGCATTTTGGTGGTTCTTATCTCATTTTTCAACTCAAATACTCTGTTATTGATTTTACCTATTCTAATAGGGCTTCACCTTATTTTAGACTCTTCATTGTATTATGTTATTTTACTGTGTTAGGGATTATTTGTTTATAAATATGTAGTGTACAATCCATATTGAGATTGATCAATTGTCTAACTTATTAATTTGGAGTAGAGAGATCCTTTGTATTCATTTATTATTGATTATTAGTGCATTCTCCTCATTTATCCGTGATTTTTTCCGACCTTGTTGTTTTCATATCACCCATTATCTCGTCTTTAATATTCATAATAATCGGCTCTATTTCTAGCAAGTGTTATCAGAGCGATATATAATTCTTAACAAATAGTATCAGAGCCAAGGATCGACATTTCCTGGGAGAGCCAGTTTGGTTTCGTATTAGAACGATGTTTGATCAACTCAGAACGAGGTTTGATTGTTTCGGGGTGGAAAGTATAAAGTTTGATATTTCTCTTTTGGATTGTAAGAAAAAGAAATGTAAAGATCGAATTGTGATAAATGGGCAGAGAAGGTCCCAGTTATGTCTTAGAAGATTCAATGATCACGTTTGTTGTAGATATCATTAAATTGAAGAAAATAGATATTAGGCCTCAAGAAAGGTTCTTTATAATCCCCCACTATTAATTATTAGTGAATTTTCCTCATTTGTTCATAGTTTTTCCCGTTTTGGGTTTTCACGTAAATTCTGTTTTTTGTAATTGTTATTTTCATATTACCTATTATCTCGTTTTTAATATTCAAAATAATTGGCTCAATTTCTAACAAGTGATATTAAAGTGATACATAATTCTTAACACACACACACACACACACACACACACACACACACACACCATGCACGAAAATGTGCAAAAACCAAGCCAAAAGTTTTACACCCCTTCAAAACGACATCAGAATTCAAAAATCCAACGAGCAAAATTTTGTATTGGGCAGTCGCTCAGTTCAACAAAATGGTCACTGTAATTGCAACAGAAGGCTCAGAATTAGTTTCCTAAGTTACTTTCTCTCTCATTTATCTCTTTATAATTATTTAAGTTTTGTTTGATACACAACAAATTCCTTGGAAAAGGGAAAATGTTTTCCATTTTCCAAGAAAAAGCATGTTTGATGAGCCAAAAAAGGAAGGGAATTGATTTTCTTAGGGGAGAGGCCACGCGCCTATTTGCCATGTTTTTGGGGAAAATGAATTCTCACCTAATAGGTGGAAATTCATTTTCCCAGTTCACGTATTTTTTTTATTATTTTATTATTTTTTTGATTTTTTGTAATGGAAACAAATTTCATAACTAATTGTCAAAAAAAATTTCTATATACACGGAATTGATCTCCTAAATATCAGGTGACGTGATACACTATAATATATGATGTAATCAATTTTGTAACAAATCATTATCTCCTATCACCTATTATAGCGTGCTATGTCACCCGAGTGTGTATATGTTATTATTATTATTATTTTTCTATGCATAGAAAATCTAATCTATTCTCTAGGTTTCGAAAACATATTTTCATCAAAATTTGCAAAAACAAAAATGAACTTTCCATTATTTTTTTGGTTCAACTCAATCTATAAGTGGTTGTTTTACCAAATGTAAAATTATTAGTATGCTTTATGTATAACATATATTTCTTAAGCTAAAGAATATTTTTGGTTAAGGTTAAAAGTAAGATTAAATTGTTAGTTTCAAATGGAGACTTCACTCTCAAAAAGTAACTTATAATCCATTTTTGTACATATGCGGAAGAGTACGCTATAACATCCAAGAAAAAGAACATAATGCACATATTTAAGTGTTGGCACTTGGCTTGTAGCACACATACATACACGAGAGCGAGAGAGAGAGAGAGAGAGAGGCATCCAAGGATAGTATTAATTGGAAGTATTTTTGGAGGATAGAAGCCAGTGGGCAAAGTTTTGTAGTGTAGTGGCGTCAGCCCTATAATGCTTTTGAGTGAATTCCAACAGATCTGACCATTTGAAATCTGGGTACTTCCTAGCCTCGTCATTGCGCAATAGATCTTGAGGGGGCCTCAAAATTTTGTCCTCTTTTGGGCTCACAAAATACACTAAAGATCTTCTCACCTTCTCCTTGTTCACCACTGCCCTGTGCAGGCAACTCTTGTATCTTCCATTGCACAATGCCTGCATATTTTGTTTATGAAAATTACGTACGTGTCAAGGATATAATGCATGAAAGAAAGATGGGGATTGATAGTACAATCGAAGCTTTGGCGGGCCATGGTCATGATTTCATGTAATATCACTTGTCTTTTCAAAATATTTTTAACAATAGTTAGCATAAATGTGATGGACTACTTGATGTCCCATCTTAGGTTTTTCTGATATTACTGATACTTGAAAACAGACTGAATCCATCTTGGCAATGAATGAATGCATGCTCAAATACAGTCCAAAAATAGGTAAACTGAATAATTTTTTATAAGGTGAAACGGCAAATAATGGTCAAAATTATACAGACGAAAAATACGTACCAAACATGTCAACAGCTTACAAAGAATACAACATGTACGTACCATGAACGTATCGCCAATGTTAACGACAAAGGCATCTGGGCGAGGTCGAATTGCTAGCCACTTGTTATTTGCAAAGATTTCAAGTCCTCCAACTTGATCTTGATGAAGTATTGTTAAGGAATTTGGATCACAATGGGGACCAGTTCCAAGGGTGAGTCCAGCTTCTTTGCAAGGTGGATAGCTATTGCACCTCATTAATGAGTTACCTTCTTCAAATAATTTCCTATAGTGTGATTTATCAACTCCCAAGCTAATTTCCAATAGTTCCAATATTACTAGTGATAAATTTCTCATTGCTTCACAATATTTCTGATAAACCCACCTGAAAATTATAATAAAAATTCTAGTTAGTTAATTTGCTTTGATATTGCAATTTTGTGAGATTACTGGCATATATCATATCCGTGTAAAGGACGAATGTCCGCATGATGAATTAACTAAAATCTTTTTCATTATACTATCGAGAGTTCATAGAAAGAAACATGAACTCACCCTGCCTCTTCAAAATCTTCCCCCAGAGCAGACTTGAAATAGTTAATCACATCTGGTTCCAGGGAATTGTCATGGCTATATCCAAATGAAAATGTCTCCTTCCATGGCAGTTTTGATGAATATCTGTCAGCATGGGCAGCTGAATAACCCCATACACTACCTGGATTCCTCTTTACAGTAAATTTTCTGCTCATCGGAAGATCAAAAAAGGTATTCATATGCTGATGCGCAGCACGAATTACAGTTGAATCTACACCATGGTTGATAACCTGGAAGAAACCGTGGGTCGAACAGGCAGCCCGAATCTGCAAAGCTGCCAAAGAAATGGCTTCTTCATCGCCATTGAAGAAGCCATTTAAGTCTACTGGTGGATCTTCGAGTTCATCTTGTGTAATACAAGTTAAATCTTCATGGGGCCATAGGAATTGTGTGGGCAAATTTGCTTGTTGTTGCAGTAGAGATGTGTCGAAAACAAGAACCGGCGAACCCTTTTCTACATCATTTTTTATGCTTAATTGAGGACGAAGAACTAAAGTTGAGGCATTTGAATCCATTGGGTTGGCTAAAGATTGGAATAATCACAAGACAATATTTATATAAAGTGCTAGAGAGCTGCAATATATAATGAGAGATAAACAACAAGGAGCACCTGATATATGTATATATATAACAAAAAGTTTAAAAGTAACTTAAATAAACTTTCACTCTGATCCCTAGTGATCTTTTAATATTGTTAATAATGTTGAGATAATTAATTATAATTTGTTTCACTTAATGGACTTGACATTAACGCTACATTTTCCATCACCCCTTAGAGAATAATTACAGGGTTGTGATGAAGACTGAATATATATAATTTATTGAGATTTTCAAAAGTTATTCTCTAGAGATTAGTTATAAAATTATGATGAATAAAATTTCAAGGATCAAAATGATTATCGTCGATTCGAAGTTTTGATGCAACACATAGGAAAAGAAACACGGAAAGGAGATCGATGGAAATGAGTGGAAGGATGCACATAGATTTCAACAATTTATGAACGATTCACGAATATTTGAGCTCCTTTTTTTTTTTTTTTTATAGTGAAATTTTAATATTGGGTGACTCTTTGCTGGGCTAAGTTGAAGAATAATTACAAAACTAATTTAATAATGGTATGTCAAGTCTCACTAGTCTCTAGTCTACACATTTTCAACTTGTACTCAGCTTCTGTCACATAAGAATCCCATCGTTTGGCTTTTTTTTTTTTTTTTTCTTTTTCCCTTTTTTCTAATCACAATAATACTTTTTCAAATTTTTGTTCTTTTCCAATGATTTTTTCTCTAATGATCACCGTTCAATAGTTTCCAAGTTCCTACGTTAGAACAACAAATTCACAGTCCATTTCCAATTTCGGATATTATTTTGTCTTTAACATATTATGGCAGCAGGGTGAATTTTATATTTTTTTTATTATTAATTTTTGAGTTTCTTCGATTTCTTAATATATATATATAATTTACTTTTATTATGACAATACACATACAAGACATTTATTTATGTTTTTGACTAAAATGAGCAAACATGAGCAAGACAACCTTGGACCATTAGGGCCAGAAAATTCGAGCATTACATGTTGGCCTAATCCCTTCAAATTAATGCACACGACAAGATTTTATTTGATGTTTCAAATTAAAATGATAAGAATTCCAGTGAATATTACTAGAAATTGTCAATTTAAATATTAGACTTTAATTTAAAAATTGGTCCCAGAAGATAAATAGTAAGGAGTCGAAAAAAAAATCATATAATCAAAATCTTAACTATAAAATTAGCATATGCAGCATCAATACAAGTTTATATATATACATGCCCTTTTTTCACAAGAGATTTGATCTTCGATCATGATCCATCTCCTCACTACTCATGGGTTCTTCGAGTTTTCATGTTCTATTTCAGTATATGTTGTATATATTTCTGTTTCTGCTTCTGCTTCTGCTTCTGCTTCTATAGGTAAAGTAGAATCCTGAATAGAGATATAAAAAACTTCAAATCATTGGGCCATGAAATATTTAATTCAGAAACTAACATACAATATACGAGATATTACTTCAATCACTTTGTATCATTCATTGACTTGTCCGCCTCTCTCACACTCTCATCTACTTTACATGTAGCAGTGTATTGACATTTTTGAGGTGATACATGTAGCACAAATGACTTATATTGTATGGATTTCACTCAATTAATAATGCTTTACGTAGTCAACAAAGTTTAGAAGCTTTTTTTTTAATACTAGATAAACTCGGTTTTTCTTATAAAAATGTATACCCCCAATTTTGAATGTATCCATCCTATATCGAGATTACATAAATTTGATAAGACCAAAAGTTTTTGTGATAACCCGCCAGCATGTGATCTTAGGCTCAAGTTTGGGGAAGGCTGCCTCATTTGTTGTTCCGTAACTAAGAATTGGAAAAGAAAGAGGAAGAAAGAAGAAATGGGGGAAAAATATAAGAATTTAGAATGAGAAAATATTATTATTATTATTATTTTAATATCAACGTCAAAGTATTACAATGAATAAACTCCATTTACATAGGGCACAGAAGCTATTGAGAAAAAAATATTTATATAATAAACTAGATAATTATCAAAATATTGAGACTAATATAAACAAACATAATTTGAATCAAAT